CGACTAAGATTTATTTCTGGATCAAACTATAATATGTTAGATATTTAAGCAGTTTTGTTACTTACCAGTAGATTTAATATTAAAATCTGCAGCAAATGATATATCAATAAAATGATCAACACAAAAATAAGAACACTAATATAAACGAAACTAAACAGTATATACCCAGAGCTGAAAAATACAATACAAAGCGAGAAACCTAATATCATGTCTGCCTGCTGAGACCTGTTAGAAACGATTAGTATTGAAAGCAGTACGTACGCCATCTGTTATTGAAAAAAAAGGCAAGTGGAATAATTCTCTTCTCTGTTCCTAGATGGCTCAAGCGGCACCAAATGCACCAATTTTATTATTAATGTGATAATAAATCAGACTCTAGCCACTGCCTATTTAGGATTTAGAACATTAACGTTAAAACAGTGAAATAAATATGATAGTTTTGTATGTAATAAATTCCGCTACATTTTGGGCTAATTTGCTCTACCGCCGCTACGCCGCTCTTCTCAAAATAATCCGCTACAAATAGCGGAATTCCGCTACGTATGGCAACACTGGAAAGACCTGTCGAACACGTTCAACATTTTCAGGAGTTCGAACTGTTCGCGGCGCTCCTCTTGGTCTTCTGTTGATCAGTTCACCACGCCTGCGAAGTGATTCAACCGAACGAAGGATATTGTTTCGAGGGGGAACAGCTCTATTCCGATGAATGTTCAAGTGGCGACGAAACTCACTCTGTACGACGATGACTGACTCATTATTTCGGGCGAAACAATCATAGGCGAAAACGCGGTGCACCACCGTCCAAGGCTCCATAACGACAACTGGTAAAATAATGCTAGGATCTCACGAGTCAAACGGCACCCTCCCATCTCTCTCGTAGACGGAGGCAGAGAGTACTACCCATCCCAAAAACGTCCGTCCTCTCTGCCGCACCCTGTATTTGTCAGAGGAACAAGTTTCTTTTGATACAGCTGGAGATGATTTTAGGTAATACAGTTCTTGGCCCGTTTTATTAATATTTACTTAGTTACTTTATCAACAGAGTGGTAAGGACCGGAACCTGCAACTGTGTTTTATCTGATGTCCACAATTTATTTATCAAACTATTTTTAGTGGTGCATTCGTTCCGGCAACCACCTTTTTTAGACGGGAAATCTTTTATAGCCACTCTCAGGCAGAAAAAATCAACAGTATTGGCCTACCGGCGGTGTGAGATTCTCCAGAACTGGCTTACTTACTAAACCCCTCTGAAGACCTGCATTCCTTTGAAAATGTTATAATTCTAGATTTTTGGGTTCATTGAAAGAAAATGTTAACTTGTACCTGTTGTCTGCATGCCTACTCGTACATAGGTTTACGCTGTTGCGATATTTTTGTGCAACTTATCTTTTTCGTAATGTATTCTTGCAATCTTTCATCAAGCTGTGTCAATGCTTATGTGCGAGTATTATGCAGGTATTGATAAACATGTATAAATATATGTAACAATTTCATGCCTTTTGTGACAATTGTTTTTAAAAACAACTTATTTTAAACTTGAAAAGTCAAACAAAATTTTTGTTCTACTGTATTGGGAGTGGTGGGTTGATAATCTGATGTCTGATTGGATTTGAGGACGTCTGATTATAGCACGATAGTTTTGGAAGATTTTTCAATATTTAATTTTTTTTTTCGAAATTAGCGCCCTTGGTATTTAACCTGCTTCAAGCATACGAGCCCCTTCCCACTTCAGTTGGCCTAACTATTGAAATCTTAGTTTTTTTCGTATCAAACACAAATAATAAAAATGTAGGAGGGTGTTATAGGTTTAAAATATTGACAATGAAATTTTGATAATATATAGTAGAAAACACCAACTTTATCACTCCCTAATCAAATTTGCAGCATAAAAATAACACATGTTGCAATTACATCATATCAACCTATTTTCATTTCAATGCAAAATAAGTCTATAACGCATACGTGGCTGTGAAAAATAAAAGCCATGACAATTGTTTTTATTAATCACAGCTGTCAGAATACGTTTAAAATAGTTTTGGGTAGTTAAGACTTTCAAAATGGGTAGAGGAAAGGTTATTAGTGAGAAAATTCGGTTACTGATAATTAAATTTTTTAATTCTGGGAAATCAAACTCAGAAATTGCAACTGTGTTAGACTTATCGCGGTATAGTGTGAGAACTATTGTTAGAAGGTATAACGTATCTGGTTCAGTTAATATTAAGCCACGATATGCGAAAAAAAGTAATATTACAAATGCCGACCGAAGAGCATTAAGAAGAATAATCGTGAAAAACAGGCGTGCCAATTATTTACAATTAAGTGCTCTGTGGAGTGACGCTGTTGGAAGGAGAATTTCGAGGCCCACAACTCATAGAGAGGCCCACAAACTGGGATTTAGCACTTGCAAGGTAAGTTTTCTTATAAAAAAATGGAGTAAAAACCCTAAAGTTGCACAACTTGTTTATAAGCCAAAGAAAAGCCACTATTAACTCCACTGCAAAGGAAAAATCGGCTTAGATGGGCTAAAGCACATAGATAATGGACACCTCAACAATGGTGTGCAATACAATGAAGTGATGAGGCCCGATTCGAAGTTTGTGTTGGTGACAGTCGCAGTAGAGTTATTTGTAAAAAAATGAAGCATTCCATGTTGACTATCTGAAGAGAAAACTGAAATTTCCAGGATCCATTATGGTATGGGGCAGTATGTCATCAAAAGGAGTAGGAAAACTTTATTTTATTGATGGAAATGTGGATACAAACAAATATTTGGCAATTTTAGAAGAATCGCTTTTGCCAGTGATGGAAGAATGTTTGACATCCGGCCAAGATTTTGTGTTTCAGCAAGATGGTGCAGCGTGCCATACCTCAAAAAAGGCTATAAAATGGATGGAAGCAAATAATGTACCACTTTTGAAATGGGTTTCTAGCAGTCCAGATCTGTCACCTATTGAAACTTTGTGGCACGAGATGAAAAAGGTTTTACGACAGTATCCTGCTCGTACAATCACCGAACTGAGACAAAAGCTTCAAGAAATATGGGATCGTTTAACACCAAATTTTTGCCAAAACTTGGTTAACACTATGCCCCAAAGAATTTCAGCCGTAATAAAAAATAAAGGTGATGTTACTCAATGGTAATCTTTCAATTGTTGCTTTGTTAACTTCGCGCATTTATTCGCACATTGTTTATTTGTTCAGATGTTCTGTTAGTTCTAGGTCTAAGTTATTTCAAAAATGTATTTTTTACGACTAGAGTTTATCTAAAATTTTTTGGAGAAAATCAATTGTTTTAGAAGTAAATAGTTTCGTCATGTTTAGTTTATAAAGGCATATTTTGGTACAAATCTTGAAGTGGGCCAACTGAAGTGGGAAGGGGCTCGTAGGTATGGAGCACTTTCCTAATGTTTCAGCTTTCAGCAGTAAAACCGCAGGCATGATCCAGAAGTTCTATTGGGCAATGTTTTCAAAAGCATCCATTACGGCAAAATCACAGCTAATTATCTAGTAATATTTCAAAATTTCCCAGTCCGACAAGTGACACAACATTTTGACGGATCCGTCAACGCCAGGTAGACATAATCGTACTTTGTTGTTCTTATTTGTACACGACGGATACATTTTGTACTTGCTATCAAGTCTATGATTTAGAAAAGTACATTCGTATATACAAAAAACGCTGCACGCAAAATTGTTGCTAATGATCATGACTACATTTCAAGTTAGGTAGGAATGGAATGGGATAAGTAGTTTTCACTTTTAACTTAAAAGATCAGAAATACGTACCGATATTATTTTTACACGTAAAATTGCAGCTACTGGAAATCAATAAATCCCAAATGTATTATAATAATTTTGTAATAAATTTGTTTCTATATGTACTTTGTATACTCTGTTGTCAAAATTCCCAGTCACTAAAAGTAGCTAGATATGTGAAAAACAGCTCTGAATACGGTCCTAAGTTTAATCAGATTTATACCCTATTCATTATTGCCAACTTTACAGACAATACAAAGCTGTTGACCAAAACGTAATGAATACTCGTGGAATAGCGTTTACTCGTTTATATTGACTTTCTTTGAATACCACTAGTTCTCTAAAGTTTCTGCGTATTGATTTTTATATTATCCTACTGTGTTCTGCCTATCAAGGCTGGCATATTTACCGCTGCACGACATATCTTGATGAAATACTTCGAGGTCGTGCACGCAAATATTTGAGGAAATGATAGCTTTTAACTGAGAAATTGTTTATTCGATAAGAATAAAATTATGTCGTCCAGCCTGAAGATTTTTCAAAATGGTAATTTTGCGCAGGGTATTGAAACTAATACTTATAACTGATAATTGAATTAGATGCAATTTGCGGATGAAAATTATGGAATAAGTAATATATGCTTTTCCGCGAGGTCTCTTGTACACTTTAAAATAATACACATCAATTCGAAAATTATTGGTACTAATAAAACAACATTGTCGCATATTTCGAAATATTAAAATCCTATAAAACAGTTAATTGCTTTCAAACTGTCATTTTTTCTCTATGATCAATTCTGAAAAATAACTTATGACGTTCATGTAACATACGTATGACGTGAGAATATAATAAAACAATAAAAAGTGTAGATATACCTAGCTATTATAAAGTGATTTAAATCGATTTTTCATCTGAATTAATAATGCAGTATAGATTTGTCCCCTAAACATCACTGCCTGAATCAGGGTAGTAGATGCTTCGATTTTTAATTAAAGCCCTACATTTTGTAATATTGTAAAATCTACCAACTGTACAGGACTTGAAGGGTTGAAAAAAAATATATAACTCATATAACACAAAATACAAAGCTCCTAATGCCAATTACTCGTAATTGAAAAGATAAGATTTTTATTTGATATTCTATCATTCTATTCGGACAAAATAGTACAACTTAGTTATTTTTATCCTTTACACTCATGCAAATAAACCAAAATCAGTCGAATGAACGATTTAATACAAATATACTTACCTACTGGTCTAAATAAACGCTTGGAAATCCAGATATAAAAAACATTGTATCAAAACCGAGTACGAAATGTGGCTGACAAAACAAAAGATGGAATGCCAACCGCGGCACACTCCGCGGTCGAGCTTATCTAAGCGTGTTTGATCAATTGTTCGGTTGCTAGGCAACTAAGGTTTTCAAACACAGTTTTCCCGAGCCTAGGTGAATAACCCTAGGATGAGCCTAGTGTTTGTTATAGTGCGAGTGAAAGTGATTTTGCTTAATTATCAGGATATTCACCCTTTCTTAGATAAATATTTGGCTTTTTCACTCAGAAAGAAGAGCTTCCTTATTGGACATTGCCAGGGGCGTATCCAGGGGTAATTTTTTCAGGGGGGAGGTAAAGGAAAATGAAATGCTTGGAATATTTTTTTGGAAATGTGAGTATCAGCAGCAATTCTAGATATTCAAATTAATTCGATTTGTGACGAGCCAACCCTTTGAGTATCTTCTGAAGCATTGTACTTCTGATCCTGGTTTAGATTTTATTCAAACACATTGCGTTTGTGGCTGGCATAAAAGAGAACAAATGTAAAAAATACGAAGAATTTCCTGGGTATTTTTTTCAAGTGATTTTATTGGGGAGAGTATTCTCTCTCCTTTCCCCTTCCCATGGATCTGCCATGAGGATGGTCCTGACAAAGTGGCAAATTCAGAAGGATAACTAAAAAATGTAAAATAGGTTGACATTGGTTACTAGGGTATATATGTATGATTATTAAATGAAAAAATGATTTTTTATGTTTTGGACGGATAATTTTAAAACTGGACAGTTGATAATGAATGCAAAAGAGCTCCACTTTTGAACCGGCAAGTACAAAAAGTGTAGAGTAAGGTTCAATTTCTCGATGGTACTGTATCTTGAATTGTATTAGATATACCTCTTATATTAGCATGCTCATATTGTCTTTGTCTAGTCTAGATTATTGAAACTGTATAAAATATTTGGGATGTTCCAGTATGGATTAACGAATATTTCAACGTGATTTAGCAACCAAAGATTATTGTAACATGATGATTGGACTTCATGATATATCAATATATAAATTTCTTTTAAGTGAGGTTTTGGTGACCACGGTGGTCTTTTTCAGAGACGGTATCTATTATTTTGTATGTACCCTCGCTTATCGTCCTGAAAAGACCAAATTGCAATGATACCTTTGCGCCATCTCGAAAAATGAACTGTTATTTTGACGACAGATAAATATAAAATATTCTGTCATTAATTTGTTCTTTGAAAATATTAATCAAAAGTAGTACATTATACGTAGTTTTATTTGGCCAGAAAATCATGGAGTTCTAACAACCAAAGAGTTTGATCGAAATAATGCATAGACAGCTCTGGAGCTTGAAGATGCCTCTATATTCGTCATTCTTTTTAAATATCAAGCTTAGATATCAAGCAATAACTGGGAATATAATCAAAAGTAATACCATTAGCGATTAAAATTTCATCTTCGAAATTAGAATTGATTCTCTAAAAAAATATGTACCTTCGTTACAAGATTCTCATACTTCGTGGAAGTCATAAAAAATTTTGTAAGTTCCTTTAAAACAAAATGATGTAAACAAAAAAAATCACTTTTCACCACTAACTCTTACCATTGATACCTAGAAACCATCAAAGGTTTCAAATGCTCTAAGATCAGTTTCTCGTTCGTAGTATTTAAAACCATGCCAAATCTTGTGATATTTTTTTGACTTTCTAACTCCTTGGGACTGGACTAGGAAATCATTTGGAAGGGGAAGGTGATGAAAATTCCAAGTTTAGTTGAGGCGTGTGGGGTAACCGTTTTTTATAAACATGATTCATACATGGTAGATATTTTATTAAAGGTCATTTCAGACGCGGAACTTTATAATCGACTTGATTCAGTATTGTAGATCTATAGGAGTTCTTTTTTAGAATTGTTGAGTCGTCACTAGAAAACGACAAAATTAAAAGAAAAAATATAACTAAAATGTTATATCCTACAAGTAACATATTTGTATTAAGATCACAAAATATAAGAATAAAGTTAAATTTTTGTTGGTCATATCTCAAAATACTAGGATCTCCTAAAATACAATAATAAGTAGCGTTTTGCCAATAAGTACCTTGGCGCCTCCACTTGGCTTTTCAAAAATATAGCAATTCTGACCTTATGAAGGTGAACTCAAAGAATCAAATTCTGTTGACTTATCCATACCAATAAAAAAGGTTGGGTGAAGAAAACTAAGCAAATAATCAAAACTTTTTCAGCAGTTTCAGACGTTTTAACTCGGTTTCGACCAAAGGTCAATCTCGTGAAGTTTGATTAACGTGAAAACAGGGGTCAAAGGACGATGACAATCATCTTCTGGAAACATTCGAATTTGAACATTTTAAGCAATTTTTAATTCGAAATATGGAATTAAATTGGGAAATTTGGAAATTTGGAAAATAATTCGAAGATTTGGAAATTTTGGGAACAGATTGGAAATTTTGAAAAAAAAAGGAAACAATGAAGCTTGAAAAAAAAAACTGGAAACTTTGCGATATATTGAGACGTTTTGTAACTTGGAAAGAAATTTGGATTAAAAAATAAGGGGAAAAAACTGGGAATTTTGAAGAAAAAAATGAATTTCAAACTTGGGAAAAAATTTGAAAATTTTGCAAAAATTCGAAAATTTAAATTCAGCCAATCCCAAATAAGGTGGGAAATGAAGCTCATGATTATAAGTACTTTCGTTGTCGATTTGAGACTAAAAATTCCTGAATAGATTGTAGTTTAAAAAACTGAAAAAAAACTTAATAGCAAATTGAAATAAAAAGTAGAAAATAATTTTCAAGTATAGGAGAGTGCTGCTACAGTAGAAACTCCAACAATCAAGTATGACTAACTAATTTGGAATAGGATCAACATAAAAATTCAATTATAGTAAAAAAAGCATGGTGTGCTTGATATTAAATGTTGTAATTATACGACACTGTTAATAATTGAATCTTAGAGAGAAAAAATAGCTGCACCATGCACTGAGCTGTCTTTTTATCGTAGGTTTATCCTACAGTATTGAACATTTGACAATATGTATATTGGTATCAAAGCTGGCAGGCTAACAGATAGTTCATGTGCCGCACGGGTATTATGTAAAAAACCTATATAACGTCAAAAAAAACTATAAAATGTCATTTGGAGACTAGGTGCAAACAGTCATTCCACGGTTGCTCACTAGGATCGTTGTGAGCGTCCATCTGTGGAGAAATGACTCAGCTACAGGCATTGTTGGTTGCATATGTTTTGTGAAGCCGAGTAGTCTGTAGCTTTCATCTCTGAGAAGAAAGTTGGTTGAATAGCAAGACCGCATCTGGATGATTGTGTGTATTGGTCTGCAGATGTATAAAATCAGTGATATTTGCTGAGTGCGAAAATTATTACTGAATATGCTGCCAATGAAGTATATCTATTAATTGTGCCCCACGGGTTATTTATACGTTGTCCTTTCTGAGGACAGGTTATGTTCAAAGTTATTAATTACGTCTTTGTTTTTTCAAAAACTTTGAGGAGACTTACGGGAAATCACCACTGCTCCCGCGTTGTAATTACTGTTAGCATGTATATGACTTGCAAATCGACAGTGTAAGTGAATATAATTATTTCTTATCTCTTTCATTTTTTAAATTCAGCAAATTTGGATATGTAATTTCTAGAATGGACAAGAAAAAGTGGCTGCGCAACTAATTTCTAGCTTTGAATCTCAAGTAAGTATATTTGAGACAAGAATCCAATGGAATTGTGATCAACACATATTATTAGCACACAAATCTTGACTATGAACATATGCATTGCCGTTTCCTTCTAGCTATAGTATACAACTTACAGCTTAGACCTCTAGTAATGCCATCTCTGAAGCAGATTCTACATTACAACAGAGCCAAACATTGATAACTGAAGCATGGTGACGTTTAGGCAACACGTACAACTACAAAACGAGTTCACAATATGTTCATCAGTCAACGTCTTGTAGAAAAACCTACATAATGTCACAGAAAACCAATACAATGTCAAATAAAATCGACATAGTATCACCTGTCAACGCCCTGTAAAAAGGGTTTTGACAACATTGTCACATTTGCGAGCTATAAGTTTTCTGAGATTTGTTGGCGAGAAAAAGTTTTTGAAAGATGGAAGTTGACCCAGGAGGATCAACAGACGACGCAGTTCCACATACTATGAGGAAAGAGCTGAGCGGTGGCGGAAACCAAGCAGAAGCAGAAAACATGAGCTCACTGACGCAGATGTCATCGGAGCAGAAAACGATCGAAAAACTGATGCTGATTATAGACGACCAGGCGAGGCAGATTCGAGACCTAATGGAGACCATCAAGGACCAGACAGCCAAAATTGACAGCCTTACCGCCCAGGTAACAATATTACTAAATTCAAAAGAATCCCCTAAAGAACGGACAAAGACCCTAAAAAGACCACTGAGAAACGTTTCCGATGATCATCTCACATCCACAGACGAAGACGTACAGACTGAAGGATTTGTAAAAGCAAAATCAAGAAGGAGGGAAGGCGACAAGGCTGATCGATCAACCCAAGACTTTCCTCCTCTTCCGAATACAGGATCAATTCCATTTCACACCTCCCCCAATTCATCAAATCGAAACACTATTAATGCTTCTATTATCAAGCCAGGGACTACGTTATCTACCTGTCAGGTGACTCCGTCAGCCGATCTTACTTCTCCTCCGTCATTTCGTCCAACCGTCGTGGCATCAACACAACCCTCACGACAAGGGCGCATAACCCCGATCGTCTTACGCGACGGGACGAGATGGCGTACTTTAAATTTCAAGTTTATTTCCCTAGGTATTAAAATAGATCGCGCGGTTGCCGTCGATGCGGGAATAAGGATTATTCCTAAATCCGAGGACGACTACCGTAAGATCGTTCGCCTATTCCGAGAGGAAGAAGTGCCCCATCACACTTTTCCTCTCCCTTCGGAACGGAACATCCATGCGGTGGTTCGAGGAGTTCCCGTCAACTTTTCGGATACTGAGATTAAGGGAGAACTGGAGCAGAGGGGATATAGCCCTCTTCACATCATTCGATTGAAGCGCAGCGGCGGTGCGCCCATGCCTTTGGTGGTCGTGATACTGCCCAAGACTGAAAAGTCTCAGCAAGTGTTCAACGAACACGAACTGCTGGGACTGGCCATTCGAGTTGAGGTTTAGAAGAACTCCAGACTCATTGGGCAGTGTCACCGCTGCCAAAAGTATGGGCATGCGCAGTCATATTGCACTGCACCGCCCAAATGCTTAAAATGTGCAAAGGACCACATGACGCATTTGTGCCCCCTCACAGAAGAGGAAGAACGCAAGTGCGCGAACTGTGGAGAGGGATATCCCGCAAAT